ATATGACGCACACTTGCTAGCCTGTTCCATTCTTCGTTTTCCGAGGCTAGGAGGTATTCTTGCCTCGCTTCAACTCACTCACTCGGAGGTACATGTGCTACCTCAAGCCTCCTCGACATTGAGAAACACCCACTGTCTTCCTCACTGACATGTTAAGGACACTTCGAAAAGTAGGAAGAAGAAGCTACAGTTTAACAATGTCATACTTAAAACAGTAAAAGAGCAAAATTACAAATCAGACTTTGAAATTCCACTGACCAACCATTCAGTATTTTAATCCAATAACAAATAGAAAAATGTAAAGCTAATTATTTTTTCTTAAATTGCAGCTATTTATGTGCAAATAAAACTAAGAAAATCTACAGCCATGCTATCAGCTTCGTAGGGCAAATGCTTTGAGAAAAATGCTTTTGTTTGCAAGCTAACGTGCTAACAACGACAGTCTTCAAATGCTTATCATTAGCAGATAAAATGGTTACAATGTTAATCATATTAGTTCAGTGTATTAGCATGTACAGATAAGCACCAGAAGCAGAGTACAGCTGAGGCTGATAGTAAGTCATTAGTTGTGCTATACAAACATGTTCGACCTCATGGTGGCCCTAAATGAATAGTTAGTGAGTCATAGGTCAACACATGTGTCTGAACCCAAATGTCATGCAGTCCATGCATTAATCATTGGGTCATTTAACTCAAAACTACTCATGTAAACCTAATGCTGCTAGTGAGGCTAAACACAAGTTAAGTTGTTTAAAAATGTGCCTTGCCTTCTAAAGAATCAGCTGAATTGTTGGTTAGATTATTAAATGGTTTGTGTGACTGTGTTTTCTGTGCGCCAGGTGGAGGAGGACCTGAGACGTCTGAGAAATCCGACTCAATTTCACTTTCCACTCGAACAGATCCAGCCGAGGCCATGAACGGAGCCAAGCCATGAACAATGGTCACACTCAAACACTCCAGAGCAAAAACAAATATTCTGCTTTATTTTGATAATGGTGCCTTTTTACCAGGAATCCATGTCATTCTGTGTTTTCTTTACAGTCTTGATAATGATGCCAATTATGTCTTTGAGAAAATGACAAACACTGACGACTATTGAATTAAAAATAATTGCCCGAACATCAGGAGAATCTCTCGTCTTCCTTATGTCTTATTGTGGAAAGGTTGTAGTTTACCCTTATGTTGTGTTCGGGTCTCCCGTGACCCGTTTCAAGTTAAAATTATATAATAACTACGCTCTAGTTTTTTGTATCGGAACAAGGCTTCATGGTATCCTCCACAACAGCTATAAACACTACAAAACAGATTTTGACAATTTTGTATTTGTATAATTTGGTGTTGGGGTCTGGGGAGACCCAGCAGAATTGTTTTGGGTCACTCAAGGTCAAATTTGGCCCAATCAAGATTCATCTTTGACTTTAGACACCCCACCCCGTTCATCAACTGTAACAATAATCTTTCGCAACATGCACCTGGTCTCCCCTCCCTCTGCCCCCACGGGAACTCGACCTTTCTCAAAGAATATGTACACTAACATTTGAACTCACACATTCACGTGTGCAATATGTGGTGTAATGTGTTTTGGGGCCATAACATTAAATTACAACAGGATTGTACGCTTATGAATGCATTATAAGTTAGTTGTGATGTAGTTAAAACAATATTGGATGAGTCTTTTTTTTTGTGTGTTTTGGACTGAGATAAATGAAGGGTCAAAATTGACCCGCGAACACCATGAACGGTAACAGCTTTTGAACACAACACTTAATAATTACCCTGAATCCTCATAGGGGAAGGTACACAAATGACATTCATACAAAACAATCACTCAACGCAGAGCAAAACAGTAACTGGATTGTAACACGGATTTTATTAAACAAAGTCCCAACAGTAAGACAAAAGATCACAGATCACAGTATGCTGGTGTCTTTGTTTTTCCTGAGTCATAGATCGTGTGTTGGAAGTGTTTCAGGTCCATAGTACAGCCTCCTCCCTGAGGTACTTTCCACACAGGTATTTGTCACATTATTAAATGTCGTACTGTAAACTGCTACAACACAAAGAACAGCACAAACATGAATTCCCTTTTTGATGGAGCGAGCTCAAAGACAAACGGCATGTTTCTGTGGTGGCTGGATATGAGAGATATCACTTGGTAGCTGGTGGTTACAGAGAGGTAATGAAGTGGTAAACATTATTAGTGACCTGCTCGTCATGCTGTTATGTCACCTGCCTCGCAAGATACAGTAAGTTGGAAAGTACAGTCTTTTTCTGGTTTGTAGACATCATGGCAACTGACTTCAAGAAAACTCATCTGACATTTCCAGCTTCCTCTGAGTCTAAGGAAGCTGTCAAGGCATCCGGAAATGTCAACTTGCACTGTCCTCTCGCCTTGTTAAAGGGGACTTCATATGCTCATTTTCTGGGAATTGAAATGTTGTCATAATCTCTCTAAATGTACCTGTCTGATATTGTTGGCACATTTTTTTTTAAAGCCCCCTGAAAATGCCTGCTCTGAAAAATGTGGTAAACCACAATGGTAGTTCTCCAGCTGTTTGTGGAGGTATTCAATCGGGATGTGGTATATTCGAATGAGTCTGCATCTGACAAAGAAAGGGAAGCTAAATCTGAATGGCTTGTTGAATCCCATGATTTCTGATGTGACTGGGTTGTCTTGATTGGAAATGTGAGTCTTTCATGATATGCCCCCTTTTTAAAACTTCAAAGTCAGCTGCAGGATAAGGCCACATTTGTGTAATACCACAGTGCCGGTAGTTTAAACAAGAAAGCAACAATGTGAAGTGTAAGAAAGCTAGCTAACAGAGAAGGTGGTCCATAATCTTGAGAGTGCAAAATGTGTATGGATCTACAGCGGTTGGAAAATAAAATGGGAACACCTTAAAACATAACTCATCCAAAACAACAAGAAAATTCATCATGGTCTATAGTCTGTTAAAAACAAATGGTATCATAAGTTGTTATTGAATATGAAATCATCTTCATGCTGGACTCCTGGGGCCAAAGTGGTTATCAAATATTTGGTAGATATTTTTAAATATGAATGAAGGTCTTCCCGTAGATAATTAATTGAGTGTGCAGCCACTTAGATTATGATGCATCTCATCTCATGATACATTAAGACCATTATAGCCTTAAAAATACACACTTATTCAATATGACATTTGCTGTTTAAAATGTGGCTCTGCTTTATTCCCTATAGGCTCAGCCAGTTGTGGCAAATACATACTAGATATAATTGATATTCACTATTTTGCAGATTAACGATAAAGCATCAACTACTCAATAATCTGATTGGTTGTCATAATAGTACTCTGGGTAATATAAAAGTTTGCGACCTGCAGGGCTGTTGTGTTGGATAGCATTATAAAACCAACTATGTTCACATAGAAACCAGATTAGTGATAGGATTCAGATGGGACCAGATAAACCAGTACACCACAAGAAAACAATTTCACGTGTCAGGTTGTTTTGAGAGTGTAGTGATGGCCTGAGGCTGGAAAAGGCATACATGTTCAGTGCATGTTATTCATTCTTTTAACTGATTTCACGATAAAGCATCGGATTGTTCAATGCATGTTTGATTAGTGTTCATGAGCAAAGCACAGTGGAGGATTACAGAAAACAGAAAAAAAAAATTAAAATCTCCCAGAATTTGTCCAGGTATTAAAATAAGATCAGCTAATTGTAAGACTGAGGTCTGACACCGTTACTGTTTCGATCGGAAGTAGAGTTTCTTGGTGAGCATTGAAGCAAAGCAGGGTACTTGCTTCTTCCCGATGGCATTCCGGTCGTTAGAATTCCCAACACTCCTCATGGACACCTTCCTGTTGACCAGCGTGAGTAACTCTGTGAACTCCAGGGTGTTCCCATACCTTTTAAACAGCTCACACAGATCCTGGACATACCAGGAACCGTTAACGGTCTCCCGGTGGGAATAGTATCCTTAACAAACAAAAAGGGGACAGGGCAGGATTGTTATTGATGAACAGCAGAAAGGACTTTCAAAATGACATAAATGTACGGAAGCCCAGAGAGCTCAACGCATGGCAAATGGCCAAACAAGCAAATAAAGAAAACCCGTTCACCAATTTGAAAATGCTTCTATTTTGTACTTGTTTTAAAACAATTGAACAGTAAGAAATATGTGTTGTGACAACCTTGAAAGAAACTAAAGCCAGCTCACATAGCATTTAAATGAATCATGTGTAAATCTCAGGATGATTTATATTGGCAGACCTTAAATGAGCAGAAAACCTATTTTAAGTTAAGAATAGATATTTGCAAGATATCATGATCTCATTGTAAAAATAATTTTAAAAAATGTCTTCCCTACATTTAAGATTATATAACAATGTTTTTTTGCAGTGTGTTTGTGTTTTCTTTTTTTTTTCAAATCTGGCCATGTGTTTTAAATTGATAAGAATGTTTTATCTATTTGCATGTGTTTTCTTACTTTGCAGTTTGATGAGCTCTCAGGGCCACCGGATAAATGTCTTACATAATTCACTCAAGTAGAATTCCTGTTCAACGCCTCCAGTTTTGAAGTTTTTAATGAAAGTTAGTCATCCTTGATTCTCAATACTTGAGTTAAAAAAAAAATGGCCCCCCTGGCTAGTTCAACTCATCAGTTTCTAAATGACAAAGCAGGACAGGATTCACGGGAAACCAATATCCTGATGATGTACAGTTGTGTTGAGTCAACTGTACTTTGGCATCGTCAAATAAATGTGATTTATTTACAACGTAGTCTACAACTTCTTGTTTCACTTCTGCTTTGGTATGTGGTAAGACAATTCTCAAGAAGCTTGAATACTTAACGTGAATGTACCCACATCATGTCGAGACAAGCGCAGATTAAGAGTTTCAAAAACATCCCTCACCTTCAGCCACGGAGTAGCACATGATGAAATCTGCCCCGGCAGGCAGTGTGTGCACGGCGCTGGCGTCGACCACCACCTCGTTGGTCTTCAGCTCGCTGTCCACCGCGTCACAGGCAGTCACTGGATCGTCGTGCTTATCTCCACGGCATGCCTAGTGACGGAGACAGCCACGTTAACCTTCAATGCATTTTTAAGAACTAATGTAATTTGTGTTTGTTTGCCCGTACCTGTAGTATGAAAACCTTTGGCTTTCCCACGAGACTCTTGCACCTGTCTCCTTTGAACATGGCGGTGATATCCTGAATGCTGATCTTTCCGTCGAAGGTGTAAACGTGATCATTTTCACCATGGCTCAGGAAGACAAGCAAAAAGCAGTCTACGTCTGAATGGTTTTCCTCAGCGGCTGGTGAGACATCAGATTTTTTTTTTTAAATCCTCAATAAACAAATAAAAGACGCCCATGTTTGCTCCTAACTTTGCATATAAAAGGACAACAAGGAAGCTCATAAGAAATGAAATGTCAGTAATGGTACTGTGCTGCTGCCTGGATACACATTTAATAATGTGCGTGTCCTAGGTGACCATGCATGTCTTACCTTCACTGATCTTATCGTAGACTTCCACTTGTTTGTAGTTATCATAAGCCCTCACTTCGAAGTTCAGATCGTTCAATCTTGAAGAGAGATGAAGAAAAGTCTCATAAATTGCAGAACAAGTACAGACATGTTGTTTTTAAGCCCAGTTGCAGAATACAGTGTTCCCTCTCCAGCAGCCGGCTGTCACGTGATACCTTTTCTCCAGGTTGTAGCGATCAGCGTTGGTTCCATGCCTGTCGCTTAACCCCAGGCGCCAGAAGAAGCGCTCCTGGTTAAAGATCAGGGCAAGGCCTCGTTGTTTGTGGTCCATCTTGTATTCCTCTGCAGGATCCAAAGCCAAAGAGCTGTTTCATAATGAGATAGATAACAAAAACAACATTAGGTGGAGTACAGTGGGGAGGCGTGAATATCCCGCTTGTACCCGCACAAAGAAAAATAAATCAGTTTACCTTCTGATGAAGGCATCAGTCTCTGTTAGGTTCTCCGTGCATGCTATTAAATAAAAGACAGTCAATTATGCATGCAACGATTTAGAAAAGAATGTATAAAAACCTGGCTTTGCAGTTAAAACTAAATTAATTTATAAAAATACAGAGGAGGATTGAGCTGTTCAGGCTTCTTTGTCACACAGCAGAGCTACAGGTGCATGAATTGCTCCACTGCTGCACAGCTTAGAGTGCGCGTTGCCTTCAATGGCTGAGTGACAGGTGGAGAAAGATGGAAAAGGCTGCTAAAGAACAGAGGCCAAAAGTGCCACCTCCATAACCCACCCTACAGATATGTAGCTTAGACTTTGTGAGCTAAAGGCAGCTGTTTTTTTGACTTGTAAGGCATTATCTGACTTCAGTGAATCTGTATACATAGATCTGCTTTCATAGAGGTAGTTTATTAGTTACACCAAGTAAACCGTTAAAATCTAATACAAAGTTCTGCAATAAATGCATACCTTAATGACCATTATAATGTTCAGTTTTCTTTTAAAAGCGTTATTGAAATGTATCTTTAACTTCACGGTCATTTTGGATACTATACACTGAGCAGTGCTTCTTATACTAAGTGCAACGTCATTCATTAATAAATTGGGTGGAAAAAATATGAGAAACACCTGCCAGTATAAAAATACAACTCAACAGCACCAACAAATACAGCACCTCCGCAAAAATATCCCTAACATAAAATCGATATTATTGATGGAGTATTTGGTTTAGTGCTTTTGTAAAAAGACTATATTCCTTTTAGCTAGGTCTACCAAAAAGACATATGTGATGATGGCTGGGCTGTCTCGTCTACTGGAGTTGCCACACTGTATTTGATGTTAACAGGCTATGCCAAAACCACATCCTGTTAACATCAAATACAGTAAAGATTAATAATGACAGTTAATGATTAATGTCATAAAATTGAGCTGACTGTTGTCTGGCTTTACTGATAATAAAACTGCACAACTTTAATCTTTTTATTTCACTTTTGCTTTTTTAAAGTTGTATAAAATTATCAAGAACATGTTAGCTCCAGTCGTTAAAAAATGTTAATATTATGATGTTCAGTTTTTAAATTGTATTTTCTTGGAGTATATATATATATATATATATATTCAACATAACGGAGATTTGCAATGCTATACACTGAACAATGTTTTAAAAAAAATTGTGCAACATCATAGATACATCTGGGTTAAAATTGGGTGGACAAAATATAAGAAACACCTGCCACTTAAACAATACAAATCAACAGCTCCTTTGTAAACGGGACTTAACCTGAACTGAATAGAGTTCATGATAGCATTGAAGAGTTGTTTTATTCAACTTTATTTGAGTTAATGATTATTCTTATAAAAAACAATTGACTGTACTTTGGCTTCACTGATAATAAAACGTACAACTATACACTGTTTGTTTTACTGTTGCTTTGTTAAAGTCATATACAATTATTAACAAGTATCAAAGTATCAAGAACATTTAATAAAAGCACAAGAGATCTAAAAAATAGGAGGCCTTTGTTACTTATAGTAAAACACTCACCCGCATTGTCTTTTGCTGTTTGGTTGCATTTAGCAACACTTCCTGGGAAGGTGAGAGAAAAAGCGATTATTTAAAAGTTTTAATAAACATTAAAAACCTGCCTCACATGTTGTACTAACTTGCTGACTGACTGAAGGTAGAGAAAACTGACAATAAAGGTGTGGCAAATGTAAGAACATAGTAAACCACAGTAACGTCAAACAGAGCTTCACTGTTGAAAGTTACATCGTACATTAAAAGTCATTGTATGTACTTATCTAACTTTTTTAAATGACTCAGGCACAAGTCCACAACTTATAGCTACTTGTACTTTTAAAAAGATATGTAAATTGGTTACCTCCACTTGCGTCTTGTGCCGTGTTTGACATATTCACAGGTAGTCTTCACTCCACTGACACCACTGAAAAATGATGCTTCGTCAAAGCTACATTGATGATCAAGGATGTAGCTCCTCCCCCTCTGAATCTGATTGGCTGAATGTCTAAAAGTGGAGAACACGATTGGCTCTTACGGCTGTCAATCAAAGGTCAACAGCAAGGACTTCCGTGTTTGCCACATTGCACCAGCGGCTCATCAAATTCTTAAGTACAAGGGTTTAATACATCTTAAATAATGAAAGTAAGATTAGGGCTGGCGCAGCCGAAGGTTAGTATAGTTAATCATCTAATCCATACTTTCTTCAGAGACATCCTCAGACATTATTTTCTTTAAAGATTTTATGAATAGGTGATTACAGTTGACACAAATATATCTAAGAAACCCACATCTTTATACATTTCTCTACATGTTTTATTCAGTGTTGTAGCTTACATCATTTGCCTTCACTTTCGCCCCATGAGATATTTCACAGATATTTCATTAATGTAATAAAGTAAAGAAACCAAACGATTTTAGATGATGTAGATGGAAGCACCCTGAAAGCCAGAGAAATAATGTGAAAAACATGTTCAAGTATTGACAAAATATGCATTGACTGCATATGAAATACATCAATTATCCACTAGGTATTTTCACACAGCACATAAGCGTCAGTGCAAGCTAAGATAAACTCATGAGAGAAAAGTGTATTGCTGGCATCCTTCTGCCAGTGCTTTGCTTCTGAATCAGTCTATTCCACAGTATTGATCCTGTGTCACAGTCCCTTCCTCGTTTCATATTGACATCCACAAGACTCCCTTTGGTAGTCCAGGTCCTGCTGAAAAAAATAGTTTAGACCAACAAGGCTGGTCTGGCTGGTAAACCAGCCTGACCAGCCAGTCAATATTAGGCTGGATTAGTTTGCTGGTTTAGAGGGGTTTTGGACACTTTAGCTGGTCAGGATAGCTGGTTTGGTCACAGTGGTCTAGCTGGTCAGCATTAGCTGGTCGGGATAGCTGGTTTAGCTGGTTTAGCTGGTAAAAGCTGGTGGTCACAGTTTGCAATTTACATATCTTTTTAAAAGTACAAGTAGCTATAAGTTGTGGACTTTTGTCTGAGTCATTTAAAAAAGTTAGATAAGTAA